TAAGGGCAGAAATGCAGAAAACCACTTGATCGTTGACATTGTACTTAGACAAAGACTTGAGCACAGATTGTGCTGGAGGATGACTGGATATCTGTATGCTTAGTAACAATGTAAGCTACTTCCAGTTCTTGTGTAGTTTGTTTTCTTTTAAACTCTGGCTGAGACAACTGAAGGGTTTTTATGCCTGACTTCCTTCACTTCCTTCGACTTCTTGGGGTTGCTGGTGCCTTCCTGTGTTGTGCTGATGCTTGCTGCCGTTTTCAGAGTACCTTTCCAGGACCCCGGTGTGGATGGATGGGTGTGATGCGCACAAGGCAAGCAAAGAACTGTTGGACATCATTTCCTTGACCTCCAGTGTGCTTGAGCTTCATGGATTCCTGGGAAGCTTCTGTCTCTGAAGTGGTTGCTTTAGAAACAACCTTGAATTTCAATAAGAATTATTTCACGTAGTTGCCTTTTGTTTTGTTTTGTATTTAAACAGATGATGACTTTGATCAGTTTGATAAGCCTGGTGCAGAAAGATCTTGGAGAAGAAGAGCTGGAGATGATGAGTGGGACAGGTGAGTAGAATATTTTTATGTTCAGCTTCTGTATGTTAAATGACATTGCTGTGTTTTCTGATTCTCACATTTTGTATTCTAACATTTGCAGTAGTGCACACTTAGATACTAATGAAGATGTTGGTTGTTATGCATGTGTCAGCAGATGTTAGACTGTGCCAAATGTATACTTGCCTTGAGGAATATAGAGAGCACTATGAAGAGATGCTATTTAAAATTAGATAAGTATAAAGCGTTTGTGGTGTGTAATTAAATTTACAATTACTGTCCTGGTTTTCCTCTACATCTTTAGTAGGGTCTTAATAATTGGCTTAAACAGATTTTTTGCTAGTACTTGAATTTGGGGATTTTTAAAATAGATGTTTAAATTCTTCAAAATCCTTTGGTAATGGAGCGTACATATGACCTTCTATTGAAAAATATATGACAACTATGGGGATTTAGAAATATGCATGAACTTGGTTATTTTTGGAGTGTGTGTGTGTGTGTGTGTGTGTTCTGAAAAACCTATGTCTAACTGCTGATTTGACTTATCTGTTCTTTATGGCAGAGAACTTTTCACTTCTTGTGAAGTTGATTTTTTTGTTATTCCTGTTTGGCAGCTGAGAGAATTGTTCAGACTGTGCCAGTTGTCACCAGGTTTCACTGTGAAAAACGGGAAAAAAATGAAATAAGTCTTATCTAATAATCACTCTTGTGATTGTAGTAAACAAACTTTACTGTAAGTAGTTTTCCACTGAGCTGAGCTCTGGGAGTGAACCAGCTACTCTGCATTTATTGTCATTCCTAAGGGATTAGTTAGTTTCCTCTTCCGTGCTTTCCTGCTAGGCTGAGTGAGCAGTTCTTATTGCTCTAGGACATAAGTAAGAATGAATAAGGAACTCAGACAATATCTTGAGTGTACAGTGTTCTGCTGTGAAGGATATTGCTGCTCTGTCATGCCAGCACAGCTGTGGGTTGGATGGTGAACTGCATCAAGGAACTAATCTGCTTTGAGAATGCAATTAAAATAACTCGTTGGAGGCAACTCGCTGTACTGTGCTGCCTCCCAACCCCAGAAATGTGATGTCGTGTTTGAGGTAGCGTGAGACACCTCAGAATTACTGAAACCAATGTCATGGACAAATGTTGGTAGTAGAATATCTTTTGTTTCTTTTTTCCTTTTGCTGCTGACTTCATGGTAGACTTTTTGATGTTGATTGGCCCCATTTGTTTTGTAGCTCTCCTACCTTGGCTTAGAATGGCTAAAGCATAGAACCGCTCAGGTTGGAAAAGACCTTAAAGATCACAGAGTCCGATCACGACCTAACCACACTACTCTAACTCTTAACAACCCTCTACTAAATCATGTCCTGAGCTACTGTTACTGTGAAAAGTGGTTTGGAAGAGTCAGACAGTTACTCCACTGGAAGAAGTAGTGCATTGCTGCGGGTAAACCCCTGGTAGCAAAGCTATTTTCATAGGACTTGAGAAAGGTTATGGAGTATTTTCACTAAGCTGACATTTTGAAACACAGAGTTTTAGACAAATGCTTTGTCTTTTAAATTTGCTTTCATTTTTTTCTTGATTTATTATTAGAAGTTGTATTTTATTTATTCTTTAGTAGAATTGTAAGGGAAGTGATTTCAGGTTCAGTACTGGTGATTCATAGAATCATTATGGTTGGAAATGACCTCTAAGATCATCTAGTCCAGCCATCCATTTACCACCAACGTTGCCCACTAAATCATGTTCTGTGGTACCACATCTCCACACTTCTTGAAAACTTCCAGGGACAGTGGCTCAAACATCTCCCTGGACAGCCTGTTCCAGAACCTGACCACTCTTTAGGAGAAGAAATTTCTCCTAATATCCAACCAGAACATCCCCTGGCACAACTTGAGACCATTTCCTCTTGTTCTATCGCTGTGACACAGGAGGAGAGGCAGACCCTCACCTTACCACAACCTCCTTTCTTGTAGTTGTAGAGGGCAGTAAGGTCCCCCCCTAGCTTCTTCTTCTCTGGACTGTTCTCCAGAGTGAGCGATCCCAGTTCTCTCAGCTTTTCCTTGTAGGACTTGTGCTCCAGTCCCCTTACAGCTTTGTTGCCCTTCCCTGGATACGCTTCAGGGCCTAGATGCCTTTCTTGTAGTGAGGAGCCCAACTGAACACAGTACTCAAGATGTGGCCTTGTCAGAGCTGAGCACAGAGGGTCGGTCACCTTCTACCCCTGCTGGCTGCATTATTTCTGATACAAACAAGGATGGCATTGGCCTTCTTGGCCTCCTGGGCACACTGCTGGCTGATGTTCAGTTGGATGTTGACTAGTACTCCCAGATCCTTTTCCTCTGCACAGCTTTCCTGCCTTCTACCAAAGCCTGCAGTGATGCATGAGGTTGTTGTGGCCAAAGTGAAGGGCCCAGCACTTGGTCATGTTGAAGATCATCTCATTGGCCTCAGCCTGGCTATCCAGCCTAAGTCCCTCTGAGGGGCCTTTCTATCCCCAGGCAGGTCAGCACTTTCTCTCAACTTGGTGTCATCTTCAAACTTGCTGAAGGTGCCCTCAGTCCCAGTGTCCAGGTCATCTGTATAGATACCAAACAGGACAGACCCCAATACTGACTCCTGGGGATCACCACTCGTGACCAGTAACCAGCTGGATTTAACTCCATTCACCACTAACCTCTGTGCCCAGCCCTCCAACTGGTTCCTTACCCAGCAAAGTATGTATCTGTCTAAGCCATGGGCTGCCACCTTCCCTGGGAGAAATCTATGGGAGACAAAAAGCCAAAAGCTTTGCTGACATATATAGAGTATGTCAGCAGCCTTTCCCTCATCCACCAGGCTGATCACCCAGTCATCTTGCTGATCATTTGAGAGAATACTTCCTACAAATTTATCTAATGGAGCATTATTTCATTTGCAAATGTTAGAATTATTAATATTTTAATACTACTTTTTCATAGATTGCAGTGCTCTTTTGTGGAAGTGTTGACTTCTGTGTTTGTCTGGGCGACTGTGAATACCTTGCTCCTGAGTGTGTTATTGCCTAAGTAATTGCTTGAAACTTTGTAACTGCTGGCCCTGTTCTGTATAGGACATGGTTTACTGAAAATGATAAATGAACATGGGATTTCTTTGATTCCTCGTGCTTCGTTTTGCAACTTTTCCTTACTTTTCTGGGAGGAGGGCGAGGGGCTGATGCGTCGTCCATCCGCACATGCACTGCATTGCTTCTTAAGAGTCCCATCCCCCCGACATGTAAACCAGTTTGAATTCCCAGCTCTTTCTGTTCTCAAACAGTGGAGGGTGATTACTGAGAATCAGAAGGGTTTTATTATTTTGGAATACAAATATCACATTGTTCTTAGAGAATTTTTCCCATTACTTTTCTCTGGTTTTATTTTAACATTCTTTCCCAAAACATTTGTCCTTGCTACTGCTCATGTTTAATGGGGCATGCTCATGAAATCAGAGGCCAGAAAGGCCCATATAATCTGATGAGTTTATCACGGGCTGTTAACTTATACGTTTATCTCTACAAGTAGCTGCAAACTTGAGTTTGGGAGAAATGTACCGTTCTGGTGCTGTTCAGTGAGACGACAAAAGTGAGTTGATAGTTGATTTTTGTGGAAATTTATTTCTTCTGACTCTCCTCTGGGACAGTTTCTCTGTACTGGCAAAAAATGTCTTCCATTTTGTTGTGTTTCTTTTTTGAGGGTATTTTCTCTTGCTGATTTGGTGAGCTGAATTTATTCAGTGGGGGGAACAATGAACATTGAAGTCAAAGAAGGGCAGGTAATGAGTCTGTCTCTTCTGAGAGCAGCAAACTATTTGATTACTGTAGCCCTACTTTCCTAGAACTGCAGCATTAGGAAGACGTTTGTCTTGGTGATAGTGAGGATCAGTTTCCTTTGGAACTGTCACGGGTGTGTACTTTTATTCCAGCTTAATTTGTTTTGTATGGCTTTGGTATCAGCTTGCAGCCATTTGGTTTTCTCTATTTTTCCCTGCTGACCTAAAATCTTGCAGTAGTGGTTTTGTTAGTTGCTTTAAGAAGTGAGATCTGGTAATTCTGGTTCCTCTTCGTTCTGACCTGTAACTTCAGATTTAGCTATTTAAAAGAAGCTTGAGCTATGTATGCTTTATTGTGTAGGCTTTCCACTATTTCTTTGCTTATTCAAATAGTAACCAACTTTGCTCATTTAGAAGAAGAAAAAAACAGCGTAAACATAGAAAAACACAATGAACTATGACAACTTCCCAGTTGTTATGAGCTTCATTTACGTGCTAGTGCAATTTTTTTGATTGTCATGTTATATTTAGAGTATGTTTGCAATTACTTCTATTGATCAAATCTTTCTTAAAAAGGGAAGTAATCACATCAAAAGTTTTTTAGTAATATGTTGAATAGCCCTAAATATATTTAGACAATAAAGTCAATCTTTCATTGTTTTACAGTTCTGATCCGAACTTCTTACTGGCTTGGCTTGCTTTTGTCTTTGAATGTTTGTGCAACGCATGCTTGCTGTCTCTTGCAATTTGTTTGGTGCTATTTATTAAAAGCTGTCAGTGGTGGACTGTACTGCTGGGAAGTGTTTTCAAATCTTGGTGCATTTGTCAGGTTACTGGCAGCTGATTCTGTGCTGAAGAGATTAGACTTGTTTCCCTACCTTGAGTTTGGCTTTAAATTGTTCTGGAAACAATTCTGTTACAGAAAGTTTTCTGTCTCTGAAATGAAGGGCTTAAATTCTAGCTCTTCTACTCACTGAATGCGTGGTATGTCTTAGGGCCTAATTTGTGCTTAATATTGCTCACAGTGATCACAGAACAGTTGCTATTGATGTTCAGTCATTCCTGGAACTGTTTGAGATCGGTAACTACGGGCAAATACTGTGTGCAGATGATAACATCCTATTTAGTGCTGATATAGAAAATAATCACTTTTCTCAGAAGATTGTTTTTTATGTTTTCAGGCGCTACCTGTACACGAGCTAGGTCTTAACAAGGGATATCTGTCAACTCTAGCAATGCTTTATGCCTTGGGATTGCCTTTAAGTCTTCCTCTGGAACTCTAAAGAACTCTTACGCATTTACTCCAGTATGACTTTGCTTTCTAGTTGCTTTGAAAGAGTGGCAAATACATTCTTTTTTTGTGGGCAGAAATACTATGAAAACTATCTTTGCTTTTGATTCTGCTCATAAGGACTGTTCTCACTTTGGGGTATTTAATTTGTATGTAATTTGATTGATTGTGGGTTGTTTTTTTTTTTTTTTAAGTGGGTGTAGGTTAAAATGGATTCTAATTCTTGAGTTACAGTTCATACATCAAATCACTGTCATCTCATTTTAGTATTAGCCTGTGCTTGTTCTAATATTGGTATTTGGCAGTAAGAAGTATTTTGTATTGAAGGGTGGGTCTCCTGGGGCTAGACAACCTTTTCACTGAGGAGAGAACAACTTGTTCTAAATCACAGGAGTGTAGTTCCTTATTGTTGCATCCTCTTTATGGCAGAGATTTTTACATGATGGAAGAAGTTTTGTGAGCCAAAACCTTGTATTTTTGTTTCCTGAATTCTTAGTCATTCTCAAAGTGGTGGTGAGCCACAGTCCTAATTTCTGTAGTCCCACGGATGTCTGTTTGACTTGTCTTTATTTCCTCCTCCTGAACCTTGGAGCTTTCACAAAATCTATAGGCCTTAATGCCTCCCAGGTTAGCTGGTTTCCAAGTGCTTTCTTCTTCAAATGCAGCTTGGATGGTGTAGCCTGGAGGCTGAGTGCTGCCTGCAGCATGGCATAGTTTCACCTGTAGCTTCTGTGGGGAAGTGGGAAGGAGCAATTTGGACAGTATGCCCAAGAGGCCTTAAAAAGAAGGACCTGGAAGCAGGGATCTGGCTAATCATGTCATAAAGCAATATGCTTTGCCTAGGTCTTTGTACTTTGTCATGATAGGATGGATTTGGAAAGGGATAAAGAGAAATGAAGTGTTGGCACAACAGCAGTGTTACTTTAATGTGTCTGGTTTGCGGTTACTTTTAAAATCTTTTTTTTCAACTTGCTACATGTTTCGATGAAAGGAAAGCTTTGTGTGGAATCAGTAAAAATTCTCAAGTTACTTTCCTAAGCCGTGTACCCGAAATAATGTGTCTTTCTGTTTTCTGAGGTTCAACTTTGAAAAATGTCTTAATATTTTCCAGTGAACTTGAAGATGATTTGCTTGGAGAGGATTTGCTTGCTGGCAAAAAGGTAAGAGATGTACATTAAGCGAGTTGTTATGCGTATTGAAATGTGAACTTCATTCATCTCGTTCACTGTAGTTATTTGATGTGGCTTTTTATGTATCAAACATCCCCAAAGACAGCCATGTTGCTCAAGTATCTGAGATCTGCTGTTTTAGCAGAGCAATCTGTGCCTGTGTCTTTTAGTGAAATGCCTCCAAGTATGATGATTTTTAATTATTTTTTTAAGTTTTTTTTCTGAAATAGTATTTGTTCTTGAAACATACAGTTCAAAAAAGAGTTGATTCTCTAAATTGATTTATCTGAAGTTCAAACTGACTTAATTAAAAAAAAAAAAAGCTTCCTGAAGCATTCCTGAGAATTCATTTAAACTGTCAGTTTCCTGTCTATGTAAAGCTATTTAAAGAATACCAGTAATGTTGTGCTGCTCATTCCCAGCAGTGTTTTACTGAGGTCTGTGTGAGGTGCTCTGATTCATCCTGGGTAACGAGAAAAGTAAAACAACAAAAGAACGTAAAAAGTCAATAGTATCTGTAGGTAGTGCTACTATTTTGTGGAGCAGGTAGGCAGAGGATTTCCCCTTCTACAGGGAAGGCAAGGAGCAGCTAATGCTGGAGAACATAATTGAGTTTACAAAATTGAACTGTATAACAGAACTGATACCTGAAGGAGGAGATAGGATTTAATGCTTGGGAAATCAAAACTGGCTAGTTGCCCCTTGCTTCTCTTTATCTGCTAAATGAGTTAATTTATGAAATAGTTTTTAAAGTTATGTTTGAAGATGACTAGGCTTAAGTCACCCAGATCGGTAGAAGTTGAGTTTTAATTGATGTGTTTTCCACACTCTAAATATTAAAAGCTAGCTTTGTGAAATTGCTCTGTCAGTAATTTGTTAAGATAGGAAATCCTGTTGTCTGATAGACCGGCTATCCAAAATGTTAAATGTTATCCAAATGTTAACTATATGTATATATGTACAGTGGTTAAAATGTGAGTTGATAAAGCTGCTCACTTACTGAAATTAATCTGTGTGAGTATTACCAGTATTGTATTTCTCCAGTGTTTGATGAGACTTGTGCCCTCCTTAGTTGTGTTTGCAGTTTTCTATCTTAGTGCTCAGCAGTTTGTGTGGGTATGGACTTGAGTGGTGGAGTAGTGCTAGGCTTCTTGGGGAGTTTTCCCTGAGCTGTTCAATCTAAACTTGCTTCTACTTAATCCTATCTCACTACTTTCAGTACTATCCTTGTGTAACCTTTCTGCCCCCATTACTGCAGAGCGATGGGAATAATGTGGCTAAGCAAAGCCGTGGTTCTCTCCTTCTGGTGTGTAATTATTTAGAACAAAATAGTTAAAAAATATGTGTATGAAGAAAGTGAAATTATGATTGGCAAATAAGGAGCTTAGAAAAGTCACAGTATTTTATAAATTTTTACTTCACTTGAAAGCAAATTATGTTGTGTCAATGTTCTTAATATCATTACATCATGTCCTCCGGCCTCCTAAATATTTCTGCCCTTTAGAAAGAGGTGTAACTTGGTGTTTTTCTTGAGTTGCCTGATACATCAGGGTCACGAGGCAGTAAATAGGAGCACTGTTGTTAACATTTCTCTTATCCTGGTCTTTCAAATGAGTTGTCATATTCAGCTACGCATGGGAATACCTCAGTGAAAGTCTAGATAGCTGGGCAAATCTGAGTAAGGCTGTGAAATGTTTATTTACAGATTTGTTGTTTTTTGTAGTATTGTTTTTTCTTGAATTAGGTAATTTCATTGGAGGTATGGTCTCAGTCTGAAATATGTTCCTCATTAAAAAATAATGCCAATGTTCAGAAGTTTGAGTAGTTTCTATAGTTAAACTCTGTGTACTTTTTCTGTTAATGATTGACTTTTTCTGAAATCCAGAATCAATCAGACTTGTCAGATGAAGAGCTGAATGATGACCTCCTGCAGAGTGACAATGAAGAGGAACAAGAATTTCGGTATCTCTTTTCTAAAGCCTGTGTTCTGGATAACTGTGAAGTTGCATGCACAACCAATATATGCAAAGTGTTAATGGCTACCACTGATGATAGCTAATAATGAAACTAAAGCTAAACTGCAATTGTTGTATATTTGAAACATACTTTTGCTTCTTAGTTACTTAATGGTGTATTATATAGTGTGTTCAGTAGCATTATTAGCAAATGAGTAAAATGATGTTTAGCTTATTTGAATAAAATTAACTTAATCGAAATCTATTCCAAAAAAAAATAGTAATAACTTGAAGAAATGACATCTCCTGTGCTGTTTAGGACTGTCTGTGAGTCTTGCAGAACTTGTGTTCTATGCCTTGTTTCTGCTGCAGTAGACTTTCTCCTCCTGACAAGTCCTTTCACTGCCATTCTGCTTTTAAAAATGTATCTTATCCCTGAATATCTTGAGGAGTGGAGCTCCAAAGTTTATAAAGCTTGAACCATGGCTTAAATATATGTATAGAGTACACAGCAGGAAATTTGTGTGAGGTTTTTAGGGTTAAGCAAGGATGTAGTTGTTTGGGAGCTTGAGGAGTCTGCCCTGTGAATGCTGTATGTTGATACAGATCTTAAATTAGCACTTAAATTAGGTGCATTACAAATCCAAACGGCAGTCTTAATAGTGTTGTGAAAATTTTGGTTCAGATAGGCTTGCTCAATTATCTTTATCCCCAAAAGAGGCAGAGGAGTGTCTTTCCCTTTCTTTATTTGAGTAAAGGGAGAGACTGTGGGGCCAACCCTGCCACAGAGTCTTTCAAAGTTTTGGAGGTGCTGAGTCTTTTCTATCCTTACCTCTCTCCTCCTTTCTCCCCTTGTATGTGATCCTGCTGTGTATCATAGCATTGCATGTGCAATTAACTCTTAACTTTATGCAGTCCAAGGTGAATTAGTTAATATTATTTAGTCTATTAAGCCTGTACAGTAAGTCCAAAGTTCCTGAGTTCGAGCTCTCAGTCGATTGCATTTGCTTCTCCTGGTTTCCTCGGATTCTTCTTCCTGATAAACCTCATTTGGGGAAAGTTTACAAAATAAGTACAGCTATCAAGCAGAAAGTAATTTGCAAAACTTTGCACAACCTGTTTACAAGGACGACTTGTAAGCAAGCCTCAATAGTTCTGAGCTGGATTGAAAGGTATTGGAAGATGCTTGTAATGCAGTATGACTGTTGTTTTTAATGACCTCTTCCTTCGGGTGCTGCTGTTCTTGATGTGTCATGCTGTGCAGGTGTATGTTCTGAATGGTTATGTTGGTGTTGCTCTGCAACCTCCTTCCTGTCTTTGGTCTGGATTAGGACATGGGGATGCCTCCCTTTGTTGGCTTGATGATGGTGAGGTAAAATAGCTCTGACCATTCATCTCTGCACTGACTGCTCTTCCTCCTTGCAGGAGTGGTCTGTTCCCTTCAGCATGGGAAATTCTTGCTGTTTCTGCTCCGTATTTCCTCCTTGTGAGCTATGGGCAGCAGGGATAGCTATGTGACTGTATTAGTGCTGAGAAAGTACCTGAAGTGTAGTAGTGGAAGCAGGTTTCTGTAGAAAATTCTTGCGTTTTTAGCAGCTTTATTGCCAGGATATGAAAGCTTTGGTCCACTCCTCTCCCTTTGTTTCCACTGAAACTCATCTGCCTCTATAGTTGAGAGGATAATGATAATCCTGCATAATGTCTTGGTTATTGTGTTAAATCTTCTCCATCTGATAGATGCAAATTGCTCAAAGCTGCCTTGGTTTTTGTGCCTTCAAACTTACGAAAATGGTTGATAATAGGAATGTAATTTAAAAAGCAACAACAAAAAGCAATCTTTTTTTCCTTGTACCCAGAACCTCTCTAATCAAAGAGCTTTTTGTCCCTGCTTTTATAACTGGTCTGTGTTAATGAGTCATTCTTTTCTGTGTTGATGACACTAGCTGTGTCAAACAGTAAATTCTGAGTTTTGCTTTTCTTCCAGATAATCTTCTTGATGTTTTATTTTGCTTCTATTCCTTGTCTATACCAGTGCTGTTACTAATTTAGAATCTTAGGCATTTAGAAGACATGCATATGTATTTGTAATTTTGACAATATGTATTATATTAGAATAGTGAATCTGTCAAAACAAACAAACAAACAAACAAATTCAGTGTAATTAAGAATGAACAGCATTAATGCATACAATTGAAAAATAATTTACAGGTTTGAGAGATTGGGAAAGCAGATGCAGTTATGGTAACTTTGTGAATTTTCTGTTAGTCTTGGAATTAAAATTAAATCCAGCCTGCTTTGGTTACTGAGCAGGACTTTTGCCAGTTTGACCTGTTAAACCATCTGGCTGGTTTGATTCCCCTGGTCAAATAGCCTGCAGCTAGTGATAAGCTGCAGTACAGTATGCATTGTGAGAGCATGGCATAGAGTCAAATAGTGTGTGAGGTACAATTTTATTCATAGACTCACAAAATATGTATTTGTTGGCTTTATTTTGCTCAGCCTTTGTATGCACACTTGAGGGTTTTATACTTCAGCCTTTTAATCTTTTTCCCTTCCGCTGCAGTTCTCAAGGTGTCACGGTTAGCCTCAATGCTACGTCTGGCATGTTTACATCATACGAACTCTCTGAGAACATCAACGATCCATCAGTCGAACATGGGTCTGGGTACAGCCAAGGAGAAGATGAAATTGGTTACGACAAATCTGAAGCACCTGAAGTGTATGCTTCAGAGTATTCTGAGGAAGGACATTACGAAGGCAACGATCCTGAACTGACAGAAGACCAAATAGAGTATGGGGAAGAGCCTGGAGAAGATGATGAAGTGCTAGACCTTGAAATCAATGAACCCCTGGATGAATTTCCAGTGAGTTTCTTTCTATTGTATCTTCGAAGATAACATTGCTTTACGTGCATAGGGTTTCAGACTGATTTGAAAACTGTTTACCTCCCTGGGGAGGAGGGGAAATTAGACCTATTATCACTGTCTGCCAGTTTCTTTATCTAGGCTGTGACAAAGTTTGTGTTGACAGCTTGTTTGGCGGTAGGTAATGCTCCTTTGTCATGCTGGAAGGCAGTTGAGAATCATGACCTTGAGGATTGTATCCTTAAAGAAGAAAACAGCTTTGTGTGGTGGAGATACACTGCCAATTGTTAGAAGTACTTAATGCAAAAGCTTTTATCCAAGCTTTAGGCAAGATCTGATAAAGTCTTTCGAAGGTGAAAAGATTATTGACCTGCTAAAGACATCTTTAAGGTGCTAATATCCCAAAGTGATTGATGTCCTGCTTGTTCATCCTTTTTGTAACTGAGAACTGTCTAAACCTGAATAAAGAGATTGGAGGTTAGTTCAGAAAATGTCACCTGCGTAATTTGGTATGTTTTAAACAGTACATTAGAGAACAAGTGCTGGCTTTAATTGCTAGATAAATGATATAATCTTAATTAACACTGTGTGTGATCAGTGAGATGTCTTAAAACGTCATCAGACTTCATCAGAGGACATTTTTGTTCTCTTTTATTGATCAGAAGTATACGGAGTTATTGAGAATTGTACAGAATGTAACTCATTCATTTGTAAATGATCTCTGTTTTCTAAGAATGTTTGTTTTTGTTGGACTCAAATCTGGTGTTAATGTGTGTGTGCTGTGGGTACCTATTTCTTCTGGAAAGAAATTACTGCAATTCTTTCTTCATCAAAGGATGTAGAAGTACAGAAGCAGATGGCAGCTTTATGAGATGACATTATTGGAAACAATGAAAACATTTTGGTTATATGTATTTTTTAATAATATTGAAATTATGATCTAGTTAAAAGCCTGATAATTATGCCTCCTATGATCTATCACTTATAGTTGAGAATTCTGATAGATACAATTACCATCCAGTTCTGAAAATGATAACAATGCATCCAGAGCCTGCTTTTTGATGGATTTGTTTCTGTAAAGTTGGCCTGTGTCTTCACAGTTTCTTGCACTGTTGTTTTAGGATGAAGATTACATGCAGTCATACAATCAGCAAGCAATGGAAGAACAAGGAGAGTATACAGCTGATGAGGAGCTGGAAGAATCACAGACAATGACAAATGAATCTGAAGAGGTATGTCGTGAATTTAATGGAAAACCGAATTGAGTTGTTTCAAAATTAGAATTGGCAGTATTGCTGGGTAAGAACTAATGCAGTTCTGCCAGTGTTGAATTATTGGTGCCATTACTCTTTTTATATAAAGATGAGCTGTGATAGCATCTAACGTAATAGCACTGCTGGGTACATGGAGTGCTCTCTGCACCTTGGGCTGATAATTGTAGGAGAGTTCAAAGTGTTTGTGTTTAATCTTAGGTTCAGCATTAGAAATTTTAGAAATCCTTTGGAGTAGGAGAACAATGACAGTGCAATGTGGTTAGGCTGTTTAAAATCTCTGGTAGCAGTGGTGCATCACTTTTCAGATAGGTGATTTCCTGCTGTTAAGAGTGATGGTGGAGCTTCCTGGTATCACGTTTTGAGGATGAGTGAGAACATAATATGAATATTATGACAAAGATGAAGTCTTTGTGTTGAAAGAAGTTGTATTGGGACAGAAATTTCTGTGAAGTTCACTTTAGCTCTTTGGTTAGGAAGGGAGGGGTAAGTGCCTGGGAGGAAGCATGTGCCAAAAACTGTTCAAGTATATCTTACAGCCTGAAACAATGATATCATACTTGTTACTAATTTGCCTTCCACACTAGATGCTTGCTGCAGAGGGATTTTTTTTTCCTTTCTCCACCAGGAATCTGGTTTCATATTACTTTTATCCAGTTCTTAATTAAATAGGATTGAGTGTGATACCTGCTGAGAAGCGTAGTCAGAGTGTGTGCCCTCTGTGGAGACTGAACTCATCAGAAAATTAATTCCTCAAAGACACAGGAGCATTCTTCTCTGAGGTGCTAGCAAATGGGTGTGCTGTGGTACTCTCCAGTTGCATGAAACTTAAAATAGCATTCTTTGGTATAGGAGCAGAGATATTGAAAGACAGCCTGTAGTGTTTACCCTTCTGTGCCAGTGTGACATCCTCAACCACATATAATTTAAATATCATTTATTTCGTTCTTATTAAACTTATCCTTAAAAAAAAAGCAAACAAACAACTAGTACAACACTTGAAGAACTACTTTTTCTCCATTCACTGGATAAACAGTTCTCTTGTGTTCTAAAAGCAGTCTGCACTTGTGCTATCTGCATCCAGCGGCTCTGTGAGATGGTGAGAGCACTGCGTGTTGTATAAAATCAAGTACTGATTTCTCTGTCAAACTTACTGCTTAGAGAAAGCACAGCTTTGTATTTAGAATATAGGGAATATTTATTACAGAACTCTTGATTAGTTGAAATTTTTCTAGTTCAGAATTCAGTTGTTTTCATTCAAAAGGCAACATGAATGCATTTTTAATTGACTTTTTAATAGAAGTTGTTCAACATGGAATGCAAATGTTTTGTCTGCTTCTTTATGCACTTGATCTATATTCTGACTTGATTTGCATGCTTTGCAGATTGCTACAGCTTTATTTCCAAGATAGTACTATCTTTTTATTTCTTTTCCATTCCAGGTGTGTTTTATTTACTTTTGTATGTAGGCTACCAATTGGATTCTCCCAAAGAGTATACCACAAGGAGAGAGAGCCAGAGTATGCACTTCTGTGTATGATACAGATGCATGTCTTTAACTACAAACATTTTTATTATTTGGATGTTATGTAATGTACAGCCCTCACTAAATCTAATAACATTCACAGCTTGCAAACGAGTAATCGTTGGCATCTCTCCTGTGGAAGATAGAGCGCAAGACTGGAGCCGTATTAAATAAAGTACAATTAAATAGTGTTATTTTTGAAAATTGGCATCTCATTAATGAAAAGAGCTTGATAGAAGTGTTTTGCAGTGCTATATCTTAAGCAATTTCCACATTTAAAAAAAAAAACAAAACCTTGACCAAAAAAAGCTCCCAGATAAATAAACACCGTACTGTATTGCATGAATAATTTGTAAGTCAAGAGAAAATCTCACTGGCTGAAGGACTGCAACTCAATGGGGGAGGCTGATAAAAACAGAATTGAGGGACGTGTTGGAGTGGCACTCGAGTGGAAAGGAGTGCCAGGCTAGGACTGCTTTGAGGCATACTTTCTCACGTGATATTTAATTTGAATTGGTGCCTAGAACTCGGATTTTGAAATGTGGCAACACTCTGCGGAGTTTCCTTGGAAAGTACGGAAAATGTTTTTGCCTTCACTAGATAGAAAGGAAGGCTTGCCGCCTAGGTGTTTCAGCAGCAAATAAATGTAGTAAAACTGTCAGTTACATGAGTTACTGTGTTCCAAATATTTTCAGAAGAATGATATCCCTAATTATTTCTAGAAAATATTCATTAAAAATGAATTAGAATTCATAATTCCATTGTCACTTTAATATTGGAACCAATCTCCTGTGAAGTCAGTGATGGAGGTTTCTCATTGCATATTTTTAAGCCATGTCTTGAGTTATGCTTGTAAAAAAATTAGACTTAGATGGTAAATATTTCAAAAAGAAATGCTGCATACTTGTTTTCTTTCTATAAAATAGAGACATAAAAGGGGAAAAAAAAAAAAGCCAACGTTTGTATTTGTTGGGAGAGCGTTCATTCTATGCTTAGCTAGATCTCTGGTGTTACGCTTTCGCTCAAGTTTCATGATACTGCTTATCAGCCTGGAGGAAAATGATAAAAAGCTGCAAATCAGAACAGTCAGATTGTAAATATTTTTCAAAAAATACTTAGAAATTCTGGGGTTTGTTTTATAGTCCCATTTTCCATCTGTAGGTGTCCTTGGAATTGATGTAATGCCCTCTTAACTCCTCTGTTATTTCTTGATCCCTTAGGATTGAGCAGTTGCTGCTTAGTGTTAGCAGATAAGCAGGGGCTACCAGAGGGCAGCAAAGTAATAAAAGATTCTTTTCTTATCTAATTTTTCTTGTGGAAGAAATATGACTTAGCCTTTACAGTACTTACTTGGTTTGTGCCTCTTGCCACTTGCCCGTCCCATCTTTAGGATCCTGAACAAAGATCAGCACTGAGCATGCTGACTAGTGCTTTGTGCTGCTTTCTTGGGCTTTTTATGCCTGTTATCAGTTTTGCAGCTGCCTGGCAAGCTGTTGGTGCTCTGTAGCAGGTTGTAACCCAGCATGGGGAGTTCTGGGCAGTGACTGGGATTTGAGGCGTGGTTATCTGATGAGGATGGTAGGGGAAAGGTCATTATTACTTTTCCTAATAATGAAAAATCAGCAAAGCTCTAGGGGAACTTTGCACAAAGTGTCATAATGGGCAATGTTAAGCTTCTTTTGAGGAGAGTTGCTAAGAAGCCCTGGCTGGCCAGTCAGGTGATGTGGAGTGGCTGTTCCAGGGCTGTTCGTGTGTGTAGAGGGATTCACCATTAGCTGGTATTAATTGGAGTCCTTTAAGTACTGTTACCTATTAATTCAGTGCTTGCACTTGATTTCTTTCCTGAAAAGTAGCATCTTTTTATATACTGTAATACCAGGAAAACAATTCATCCTATCTAGCAGATAATAGAAAAGGGTATCTTGTGTGCTACAGCTCTTAAACAAGTTGTGTTGTTGTGGGCTAGGGTGTTAAACAAATTGTGGGCTAGGATGTGTTTTCCTATACAGCTCAGATAACCTTTCCTAGTACTGTATGTAGAGAACATATGGTTGACTGTCTGACACATTCACGTCTCCATCGCAGCTAAATAATCCCTCAATAATAGGTATAATCAGACTTGGACATCAGTCAGCATTCTCAAGCCTTGCCTTTCCTCAGTGCCTGCTTTTTTATTAGCTCTTTTCAATATATTTTTTTCTTTTGATAGGTAACACTTGTGTGGCTGTTATTTGTTAATAGGTTGTGTGAGCATTATACTGATGAAAAATGTGAATTAGACCCAAAAGACCACAAGGTTGATATCAAGTGAGTGAGAATAATAGAGTAATGCAGGTCTAGAGAAGTTGGAGAAATGGCCATGTTAACCATTCTGGGCCTGATTCTTCAGTCCAAACTATGTGCAGAGCTCTGGATGAGCTTTGTGCTCATACGTGAAATTATATGACTGAAACTTGACTTCAATGAAAAAAAAAAAAAAGTGGAATCCCAACACAGCTTTTAAGAGGCATGAGCAGCAAGAATAGATGTGCCTGGGTTTTTATGTTCTGAAGTAGAGCAAGAGGCTCAGCATAATAAGAGCTTGTCCCACAAAGGAACCATCCCATGACTTCATGATCCTGAAGGAAAACGAGCATTGGAACAGTGAAATTATGGTTTTTAAGGTATTTTGAAGTGTAGGTTTGGTGGAGGTATTGTGCTGTGCCTTTCCTTCTTGGAAGTCCCTCTTTTGGAAGAATCACAGAATCACCAAGGTTGGAAAAGACCTTCAAGATCATCCAGTCCAACCACGACCTAACCATACCCTAATCAGAAAACTTCTAGCTTTCCTGTTTCTGTTCCTTGTTAACATTTTTTCCTTGTTAACGTGCCTCCTTTCTTCCAATGGTTTCAACTGCTTTTCCTGTGAGGTGTTCTGATTTCATGTAGATATGTTAATCATGCCAGTTGTTCTCAGTTTGGATTTTTGAGGCTTGCATTTCTTTCAATCTTGAAGGACTTCCTTTGCCTGCCATCCTGTCTGTTGTTTATAATTTTATTACTTGATATGATAAGCCTGTGTGTAAAATAAATATCTCTAAAAATATATGGCTTAGAGATTTTTGTAAACTTAGGCTGTTTGGTTAGCTTTACCTTGAAGAATTTCTACAAAGTCAGGAAGTACAATGCTTGAATATGTGCTTAGATTGGGTAAGCAACAATCTGAAATGAGATGGGATCAGTAACTCAATAAAGCCCAATAACTGAACACACGAGACCAAAGCTGGTGAAGCTTTGAGCTTAAGGTCTTACATTGTACAATCCTGTATAAGTTGAAGATGTTTTGCCAGGTCCTATCTTTTCTTGTGATTTTTTTTTTTTTTTTTTTAATATAAAAGTGGGCTCCTGGGTGATGAAATAGGCAATCTTTTGCACTATTCTGCTATTAATTCCTTTTTTGATGTTTGACTTAGTATCTGTCTGCCTGACTGACACCTTTTGCCTTTTTCATATAAATTACTGCACCAATCTGGTTAATTAGAAGATTAAACCGTTTTTTGCATGTTATATTTCACTCACTTTTGAACTGTCTAAGCAACGTAGAAGTTGTGATGTATTTAGTGACTTCACAAAGAATTAAATTGCATGTGCAGCCTCTAAGAAATGAGCAAGTAGGCTTCTACAAAAAATGGCCAACTATAGTAACCAAATAATTTATGGAAAATCATATTACATTAGAAGATTTTTAATTTTCAATTCCAGAAATTAAATATAACTTGTGTAACATTCTAAGCATTAATTTTATCTTGCCAGTGCAGGAAATGACGTTTATTTACATATTTTAATTTGAAAGTGAGAAATCCATTTTCAATTGGGACATTTTCATCTAAATAAATGTTCTCTGTTACAGAGAGAATTGGCAAGTAAATGAGGACCAGGGAGCAGCATTCCAATATACAAATTTAGTATATTCAAATGTTATGCAGTCATTTAATCCATTCTCTTCCACAATGAATTACATATCAGAAATATTCAAAGAGTAGAAAAAAATAAAGACAACTACAATTATACATACCTAAAGGAGTGAAGCTGAGAAATGTGAGGCTATCTGCATTTTTTTCTTCTACAATGCAGTTCTTGTAGTTGTTAAGAAATTTAAAATAAAAAGTAAAAAAGGAGTGTTTGGGTTACTTGAATTTGGTTGTATCCCAGGATTGCCTCTTAGTCAATTCGGAGATGGAATAAGTGTGTTCAAAAGCAGTTAGCAACCTGGTGATGGTTTTTATTGGAGATTCCGTATCTCTTATGGCATTGCAGCACAGTAGGTTTTATTGGTAGATATTACCATATAATTGATTATACGTTGTGTTTCTGAGTTTTTTAATTGCTAAGTTCTTAACATTCATTGAGTTTTTTGTAATATATAGTGGCAACCAATCTTTTAAAGGAAGCTTTTTCTTCTGAATCTCACTGATATCAAGAAAGTAGATTTTCAGTTTGCATTATCGTCTGTATTTTGTGATTCAGGCGGCTATTGAATCTCTGGAACTTCAAGAAGAAACAAAAGAGGAATCTGATGAAGAGGAAGATGATGATGAAGAGTCTGGAAGATTACGTTTCAAAACTGAACGGAAAGAAGGAACAATAATTAGACTCTCAGATGTGACAAGAGAAAGGAGAAACATTCCAGAAACTTTGGGTGAGATTCTGTGGCAATGGACCATTTTGAAGAGCTGTAATAAAAGAAACTTAAGAGGCTTTGTAGAACTTTTGACAACTGCTTTGGTGAAAGATAGGATGGCCTTCTTTTAACTTAGACTGGCCTCTATCCAGGTTGTCTGCAGTCATTTTCAGTGTGTGCTGTGTCCGTCTCCTTGGTGGTAACGTTTAAGCTTACAGCATTTTGAACGCGAGCACAGTGTCTTTTCCTTGACATTTCTGTGGTGTCTTCAAAAGCCTTGCTGTTGTCAAGTGGCGGCTGCCTGATCTTTGTTTTACTGCTTATTGTCATGGAATACATTTTAAGGAATTCCTTGAGGACGATTTTCACTTTATAGCACTTGCACGCACTAAGCACGCACTTTCATATCTATGGTTTCAGTCTGTACATATAACAAAGAGACTAGCCAGTGAGAAGACAACCTGTACTAGAGCTTGAATATTAGAAGAATAGTGCTTAGAATTAGACTTGCTTCTGTGGGTGATTTAGGATGTGGCTCTGACTTAAAAGGAGAAGATGATGCAAATGCAGGTGAATTTGTAAACAGCTTGTTTAACCTGCTTTTTTGGACAAAATACAATCTTGCTGTTATGAAATGGCTCCTATTCGTACTAGTTTTGTGTCTTAATTTGTTGATAAAGGACCAAATAACTGATCACATAGTATAAAGTTGTTCTCAGGAAATGCTTTTTCCTTGCTTGTGAGATTATAAGGCAACTCTGTAAATATGGCTGGTTTAAAAATGAAACTTTGTTGTAGAGCCTCGTTTCCTTATTTTAACATCTGAACATAGTTGAGAAAACACTTACAGAGAAATTAACATTTCAGTTGAAGTTACAAACGTAATTTCCATCCTGTCACATTTTGGTGACCTTTTGTGACAGCTTGTCTCTATTGGAGGAGTGCATTCTTTCTTGCTGATTAAAGATGTCATTTGAAACCATTTTATTACTAGGGATATTGAAATTAATCTTGACACTTAGAGACACTAGAAAAATAATTGCTGATTCACTGCATTAACTGCATGCATGTGAGAGACTGTACAGTCAAGATCAGAGTAAGTGTGTGCAGGGCAAGCCGTGCAAAAATAGAGTGTCTCATAAATGTAGCTGGGATCTCTCCTAAATATTTTCTTATCCATGGTAAAGTAAGTAATTGTTTTAAAGCATTTGAACAGAGAGATTGTAGAATGGCTAGGCCATTGATTTCTAAAAATGCTGAATCTTTTGAATTATCTTTGGTGAGGCATATATAGCATTTAGTGCATGTGATGAACTCTTCACTGAGTTGGAACTGCCATTTTGCATCGAATCTGCTTACCCAAGAGAATAGGAAGGAAAAAAAAAAGCTTTAATATCACCAAACTAAAACATTAAAAAACAAAAAGAAGAATTAGACTCTCTCACAAACTGGTAACAATTGTTGTTATTGTTTGAGGAACTACTTTCTTCTGCGTTCTGATTAGTTTGTGTTCACTGTGCTAACTTACGGTTGAGATTTCGGGCAAGGAAAGAGGCTTGAAATGAGAGCTCTGTTTTTGCCAGTTTTTTTCTGCCTGCTTTTACTGCCTCTGACAGCAACAGTGGATAAGGTGATTGCTTTAGATGCATCTCATGCTTTTGATTGCATTGTATAAGAGGATAGTGATCTAAATTTTCCTCAGTAATCCATAATGTGTATGCTTACTGTAAAAAAGACTTCAGGGACTGGGATTCCTTGCCCCTTGTCTAGGCATGGTATGAGATTTTTGCGGAAGAAACCTTTTTGTCTTGGGCTCTGCTGATCTCCTGAGGCAGGTACTAAAGCAGAGGTGCTATTTCATAAGAATATCTGGTGTGACTATAAATTAAGAAATTTTTCTCATTGCCAGCATGCACAAATGGCATAGGAAACGTTATGGCAGGTATTGGGATTGTAGAGTGTCATTTTGCTGCATTCTTGGACAGTCAACCAGTTTTAAACTTTTAAGAATCAAAGAGCCCCTGTTTTCTGTATGTGTCGGATACCTCTGAAAATTGGGGCACGTGAAATGGCAGCCTTTGCAGGTCCGTTGTACAGCTGGTATCTGTAGCTCAGTAAGAACAGCTGAGTCGGTGGGAATATGCTGTTCTCAATCTTTTGTGCCCTTCTGTCAATCCTCCATTTCAAAGACTAGCTGAGATTACTTATAAAGATGTTGAAGGTGGTGGGTTAAGTAGCTTTGTCTGTTACACTTGCAAGAAATATTAGCATCATATTAGTGTCTTCAGCTTAAGAGTGCTGTCAGATGTAAAATGTTTTTATTTTCATCTTCTTATTTTGCAGTATTAACAAGTAGCTGTTTTATCCTGGAAACAGATCTCTGTGCCTCGCCTCCTTTAAGAGGAGAATTCTTAAAAATGGAAAAATGGAAATGTTGCTCTGACTGCCATTCATGTGAATTGAAAAGATGTTTTGTTTTGTTTTTTTTTTTCCTTTTGGTCAGGAGTGCATTTCTTGTAGAATCACAGAATCATAGAATGGCTTGAAAAGGACCTCAAAGATGATCTAATTTCACTTCCCCTGCTACAGGCAGAGTCAGCAACTACCAGACCAGGCGGCCCTGAGCCATATCCAGTCTGGATGTAGACTATTTAATTTTCCACTGTTAAATGTGAAAGTGAAGGTTCTCACTGACATGTGGTGAAATGCTCAGCTGCCTGCTTGGGTTTAAGTTTTTCCCCTTTAAATAATGGATACCTCAAGAGTGGCACTGCTGGAGGTGTCATGGTGTTTGGTGATTCTATTGTAGACTTTCTCTACATATCCAAGTAATTTGATTACCTGGCCCTGTTACTGCATAATTTTCTTAATTTTATCAGCGTTGTTTCAATTTTTAGCTAAGTTTGGCAGACTTCATTGAGTACCATCTGTTCTCTGGTGTTTGCTCGTGATGTGGGTTGGGTGTGTATCAGACTTGTCAGTGGCTGTATCAGGCTTGAGCTGAGCACTCAATTTGAAGTGTGCTCTGAGTGGAACTTGGGAAGTACTGCTGGTTCGTCAGCCACATCAAATGTACGTAAGTAGTTTCACAAAGTAAAAATGCAGCTCACTGGCAGCAGTGTCCTTCTTTGGAATATGCCCATGTGCAAAACATTCTTTGGGTTGAATCTCTTTTTATGGAAGGCTCAACAGATCCTTGATAGTAAAGATTGCTTGTGCTTTTATTGTGTCGCCTGGCATTTCTGCAGATACACGAGAGGAAAAACAAACCTTTTAGTTCATGTTTGTTTCAGTCACCTGCCAGTTCTTTGCCTGTGCAACAGACACAAGTGCGTGTGCTTTTTTCCTTTTGGAGGCGTCATTAATGAAATGTTAGCATGTCACCTGGAAGAGATCAAAGTGTCTGCAAATTCTTTTAGTTTCAGGGATGTTTCTATGGTTCTAGCATTGTTTTTTTTCCCCGGTATTTTCTGTGCTTTCAGCTTGAGGTTAATTTTTTTTTTCCATCTCTTTTTTTAACAGAACTTTCTGCAGAAGCCAAAGCAGCATTACTTGAATTTGAAGAAAGGGAAAGGCAGCTTAAACAGGGGCGATACGGCTCAAGGAGAGGAGGGCGAAGAGGAGGCTCAATTATGTGCCATGGAATGGGAGAACAAAGGAGAGACAATGATAGGGGAAGAATGAAGGATCACAGACCTGCACTGCTGCCAAACACACCATCAACAATGGTACCTTTTAATCCTTAGTATTCTTTGGACGTGCTTTCAGGAAATGATGGAGAGAAGGCACTCTAAATCACATGTCTTTATGAAGGTGGAATATATATTCCAACATACACTTCTTACTCCTTTGGTGTTCTGTTAGGTCAAACGAGCTTTGAATAATGTGATGATTGTAAAAGCATGGGGTTAATCCTGTTACCAGCCTTGAGGAATCTATAAGCTTGCAGATGAAAATCAAATTTTTACTCAAATACAAACAGGCAAGGCAGTAGAGACCCTGACTGAGCATGGAGGAGAAAGATAATTCCTCTGAGATAGGTGCAGTATGGGGATGTGTTCAGTCCGTGTTACAAGTAGTAGCTTAGTAAAAATAAATATAAAGTAACTCAGGGTTTTTGTGGAACTGTTTTTTCTTTTTGTCATACTTTGCAGCTTATAAAAATTGATTTGTATTTCCACCATTCTACTGTGGAATCAAATTGAAACAAAAGAATCCCACCTAGACAAATTAATTCCGTAGGATTTTAATTGAAATTTATCTTTGTTACTGTTATTTTTCTGCTTGTACTTTGTATCACAACTAGAAGATGTTACTTTTTCCATCCAGACAAGCAATGTGTAGGATCCAGGGGCATCCCAGGCTTGCTTTTCTAACTGTTATGGTGTACTGGAAACTGACTTGTAGAACAACCTCAGTGTATGCCTTTGCAGGATGAGGTCATTTGTATTAAACAATGAGAATTTTTTCCAACAGCAGTAACTGTAGGTATTGTTCTGTAGCAGGAGTTGGTGGATGGCTCGGTGGTTGAAAGCCCTGCCAGAGGAATATTTTGCATTTTTAAAACTGTGAAGATGGAATCATTTTTTTTTCCTGTACTGCTGCACTCTTTGCTACTTATTCTGATCTTCAATGTTGTAAACATTTCTGTGCTAGTCATAATATCTTGTGCGTTCCTTGTAGCTGCCTTGCTTGACGTTCGTGACTGCTGGAAGAAACAGATGTGACATGTCTTTATTACTAAAGGGTTGTGTGCTTGATTCTTCTTGCACTGTGATTTTAAAGCTCTGGTTTAGAGCTGACCTGTAGTATCAGTGAGTTCAGAAGTAGAAGAACGAGTGTCTCTGAAGGAGAAACTTGGTTTTTATTATTTAAAAAAAATAAAAAATGAAAAATAAAAAAAAAAGAAAGAAAATTGGCTATTCATGTTTGAGATACTCAGCAAGAGACTTGTTTTTGTTTTGAAAGGCATCTTTGAAGCAGATGAACATTTTTTCTTTCCAACAGTATGAACAGATATACTGCACTGATAGCTCAGGAGTCTGTTTAATTTATTTTGAGTTTTCTTCCAGCTGTTAGTTCTGTCTTCTCAGGCTCTTATACATTAGGCAAAAGTTAGTGGATTTGCTTTGTTACTGGAACTCATCACATACGTCCTAACACAGCTGATGGCAGCTTCCAGTGATGTATGCAAACCTTAATCTATGAAATGAGGAAGTTTCACCATTTAAAGAAAAGCAGAAAAACAACAACAAAAAACCCCCTTGAAGATAAATGCGTTCTTACAATGTTCTCAATGTGTGTACATCCCTGCAGCACTGCTGTTCTCTTGTGAATTTTTTTTCTTGCTCTTTGCTGTTTTCTTTTTTGTGCTGATGTCTCTTCCTTTGCTTTCCTGTGCTAATTGATCCATTTGATTTGATGATATGGGAAAGAAGTTTTTTCCATTCATATTTGGCCTTAGTTGTGTTTTCCAGAGGTGTCTTATTTTTGTGCTGGTTTATGTCAGGTTTTGTGAACTTTAAAGCCTATTGACTTTGTTCTTTTGTCTGACTTTAGACTCATTCACAGAGGTTAATTCCAACACACCAGCAACCTGTTAGGAGTCTGTTCCAGCACCAGCAGCAGCAACAGCAGCAGCAGCAGCAGCAGCAACAGCAGCAGCAGCAACAGTTACAATCTCTGCTTCCTTTACAGCATCAGCATCATTCTTCTCCTCCTCCAGGGCTACATATGCCCCCTCAGATAGAAACACCTAGAATAATGATGACTCCACCGCCAGTGACACCTCAGCAACCGAAGAACATACACATAAATCCCCATTTCAAGGGAACAGTAGTGACGCCTGTACAAGGTGAGCTTTCTGAACGCAATCATTAGTATGTAACTCATTGTTCTTTGCTGGGGATGCAACCATATTTGTTTACCACTTCATGTAAATGTGCTTCGGGCTGATTTTTTTTTTTCCTTAAATATTTTGTAACATTAAGCAAGGTGGTGTGAAAAAGGAAATTGTACAGAAGAAAGAAAATACAGTGATGTAGTATGTCTGCTGTTGGACTGTGGCCAGCAGGGATTAGTAAATCCATTTCCACTTCTTTATCACCTTTGCTTCTCCAAAGCCTTCAAAGACCAATAAAACTGTAAAGAGAATGTGTTTTAAAAGTAGCAGATGTTGGTCTTCAGTACCAGGTACATACTGCAGTTTAGAATTCCCTATATCATTCTAAGTTCAGCCAAGGATTCACAGAATGACCACCCACCTATTTTAGTGAGAATATATAGAATCATAGAATGACTTGGGTTGGAAGGGGCCCCAAGGATCACCAAGTTCCAACCCCCTTGCCCTAGGCAGGGCCACCAACCTCCAGATCTGGCACTAGACCAGGCTGCCCAGGGCCCATCCAACCTGGTCTTGAACACCTTCAGAGGCAAAACATACACAGCCTCTCTGGGCAGCCTGTGCCAGCACCTCACCACTCTCTTGATAAAGAACTTCCCCCTGACTTCCAATCTAAACCTTCCCTCCTTGAGCTTAAAACCATTCCCCTTTGTCCTGTCACTGTCTATCCAAGTAAAAAGTTGATTCTCCTCCTTTTTACAATTCCCTTTTAAATACTGGAAGGCTGCAGTGAGGTCTCCTTGTAGCCTTCTCTTCTCCAGGCTGAACAAGCTCAGCTCCCTCAACCTGTCTTTGTAAAATAATTACATGAAGGTAGTCTCTGAACTATAATTGTATAATTGTATAATTGCTTTGTGAAAGGTACCAGCTGTAGTCCTCACATAACAGTGTGTATGTGTTCAATTTTCATTCAGTGCTGCATTTATGATTATTTGATTGATAGTGTAGAAGTGTATTAGAAGCACACTTTTTCTGCCACTTGACACAAAGGCTCTTCGGGGTACACCGTTTAGGACAGCTCTCAGCAGGCAGAACTGTTAATATTGCTACTTATTTGGAAAGCATTATCTTTAAGAGGATAAAGAAAAGGCTGATTTGTGATTGAGTCTAGACAAAACAAACGAAAGGTCAATGTGGGTGTATCTACCTTTAGGTTTTCTGGTTTTGTTGGTTTGTTTTTTTTTTCTTCTTTAAATTAGCAGATCTCCAAGCCTGTATTACCTTTGCTTCATTTGTTTGTCCAATGGAAGGCAGGAATTTGGCATGGTAGGATATTGCCAGCTGTTAGACACCTGTTAGACTTCTTGCAGTTGGCTGTGCAGTAGCTGCTCCACTAAGATTATTTCATTTTTTCCTTTCCAATGAAATCTGGTTCTTATGAAATTAGGTATCAGGGCAGATTATCTGGGAGCAGTTTGAGAAGTCCTTGAGTGTTGGATGTATGCCTTCTGTGAATTTTACTAACATTTCCGAAGCAACAATTCTTGTTTTGTGAGAAGCAAAAATAGATTTTAGACAATTCTAGATGCCACTCTGTTCTCCTTCTGGAACAGTCCATACATCTTGTGTAGCTGTGTTGAACAGGTTTCCTTCTGATGGAAGTAATGGTTACTGGGGATTTTTACTTTTGCCTGATGTCAGAAGTATACTAGTGTATGTTATCTCCTTTGTCTGAGTTTTTTCTGTCATTGTTATGGCAGTTATCTCAGTCTGTGGCACCTTGGGCATGCTTAGGGTCTGCTTTTGTCTTGAGCGTGGCCTTATTCTGTTCTTTTTAGAACTTACAGACTTTGTGTGCACGTTCATTTCTTCACTGGTAAGGTTAGTCATCCTCTCTGAATGAGCAGCTCCAGAGAATGATTTTTCAAATGGTAGAACACCTGCATGTCAGCGAGTAAGGTCTTTGCTATGTTATTGCTATGTGTTGATGGCAATTGGTTCATAAAAAACACTTCGTGCCACCCATTTTACTAAAGGTTATTGAATGTTGCTGCTGATAGATGTGCAGCATACTGTTAAATGTAACTGTAGAAATTCTAGTGATTTCAATCTCTTTATTAGTGAGCAGTTAGCTTTCTGCAGCGGCTGAGAACAGTGGCCATCTCAGTCTTAGCACGTAGTAGTGGAGTTATGTTGCATGAAAGTGTACATTTGCACATAGAAGGAAAACATGTGGGACATCGTATGTCTTTTCTAGGGAAGATGAGCACAATTCTAAAATCTTCAGTGGAATTTGCACAGTAGGATGAATTTTTAAGCAATCACTGTAGGCAGATGGCAAATAGAAATTCCAGTGTAGGGATAACTGTTCTAAATTTCTTCTTAATACCGAGCAAGAGTTTTAGTACTCCAGCTTGAGGCCCCAGCAGAGAGGCACTGGTAGCTGAGAGTACAAGCATGTTTGACATGCAGCAGCATTCGTTTTGAGGTAACAGGAACTGTGGAAGAGATGAGATTAATTTCATGTTCTTGATGATATCCAGCCAATTCTCAACTGAATCTGTTTCCAAACATGAGGTTTTTTACTTATCAGAGAGTGCAGTCAATGCAAACTTTATTTGGGTTTGGTTGTTTAAAGTGTGATGCCAGGAAGCCAAAATGCCATGTCTGGAAGTGCATGGTAGGTACACTTGGGTTCTGTTAGTTTTAAGTGTGCTGTTGTTTCTTCACATGGACTGGCATTTTTTTTTGCTTCTCTAATTTTATGTCATTAATATATACTTACATTGTCACACCAAGGGTATGTGTTCTTACTCGCAAGCCATGGAAGTATTCTTTCTCAACATTATTTTTGGCTTTTCATCTTGAAATGTGCTCAGTATATCAGTGTTTTCTAAAGTAAACTAAGATCTGTGAATTGTCATGACACTTTTATTTGAAGAAAACAGCATTTCAGATTTCTCGTAGCCATCAGCTTTAGCCAGAGTGAGTTGAAGCACTCCTGAAGTATCCCCTTATTGGCTTATTTCTTTGTTCCAGAAGCAAATCTTCAATCTCAGTTCAGAAAACAAGGAAACCAACCAGCAGTTGCTTTGTGTCAAGCCAGTTTTCTCAAACAAATTTCTAGTAGTTTTTTGGTCTTAGAAGCTTCATAAACGATTAAGAAAGGCTCAGTCTGTCAAAAACCTTAAGTGAGTGTCTATTGCAAGTACTATTTGTTAGCATTCAGTTGTATCTTTTGTGGCATTTGAATCCCATGTCTTGCTGTTGATTGCTTGTCATAATTTTTTTCTTCTGTATCCTATTTTGTAAATTATTTTTGACTTATTAGAAGAAATTTCTGGCTGAGTGTGTGTCCAAATTTGAGTATGATCAATTCACAAATACCAGAGGATCACATGGTAGAAGTAGATGTACGGTGAAATAGCCTGTGATTTTAGTACTGAATATTTTTTTTTTTCCTTAATATTTATATCACAAATAACTATTTCAAAGCTACTGTAGTGCTGCCAAAATTGATAGGAGCTATTAATGAGCAGCTTGTGGCAGCTCTGTGAATTTTCATGCCATTTACCTTTTTGAAAACTGTTTTATGTCTTGGGAAAAATTACATTATTATTCTCATAAATTATCAGTATGGGAACGGCTTCTTCATCTTTACAGATAAAGCCTTGAAATTGACAGCCATAGACAAATGACTCCTCTCAAAACAGCATCTAGCAACGTAATACTGCGTTTGAAACGTAACTTTCAAACCTGTGCAAGATGTAATGTAGGGAAAATGAATCCTTGTTTGAGAATTCTCTGCTGCTTTAGCAAGTGACTGGGTGCTGGAAGGGCAGTGAGTTTGAACAATCTTTCAGGGGTATTAATTTTGTTTGTTTAAAGGAACAGATGTATCTTTATGCTCCTGTCAGAGGCAGGATACCAAAATAGACCTGAGTCGCCTGTACAGATGACAATCCTTTGCATTTATTACCTTATGTGATTTTATTTTTTTTCCTGCTGCTCTGACCTGAGCTATTTCAGTTCTAGGTCTGTCAAGAGCTTGCTGTCAGTTTTTTCAGGTGGTGATGATTGTATGAAATTGGCAGATCTTCATTAGAAGCCATGATGAAACCATTGGACTAATCCTCTCCTGGAACCTGATGCACAGTTTGCACCTAGTCCTTCAGAGCTGACATGCACTGAAAACAGGTCCTGGTGCACTAGCTCCTGTGCCTGTATTACTGAGGAAAAATTCTTGAGGCATTTTAGCTAAATGTGTTGCTGGATGCAGCTAGATCAGTCTTATAAAGTTGTCAACATCAGTATTTCCCCCCGTGTGGGAAAATAACCTTATTCATAGTTTTTAGTAAGTGAGCAAGTACATTCTGTACTGTTTGATTGCTTTATATTTATATTTTGTATCAGCTACTGTTTGATGCTTTATATTAACTTCAGTACGTCTTTTGTCTAGCACTGATGTGTATTTACTTTAATGATTGATACAGTTCAAAGGAAGGTAGGAAGGAGAGCCTACAATGAAAAGAGAAAAATCTATCATTATGCTTTGTACTACAGATTCCAACAAAAATTCAGTCTCCACAGTGATCCCACAGTAGTTACTTTGTGTTATACCATAATTTTGAGTGGTGGTTTTGGGTCATATTTTTGGGGATCAGTTTATTGAAACAGTATTACATGGTCTGTGTTTGTCTCCTTGAAATCCTATCTCTGGAGAAGTTACTTTTCAAGAAGAGGGTTCTTTTAATTCTTGATGTCTCTTTATGAAGCAAAAGATATCACCAGTTCTGTGATTACACAGACAGATTTTACTTGCATTCACCATTACAGTGGGAAAGCCAGATGAAGTAGCTTTTGCTTACTGTTAATTGCTGCTGCCTGCCTGCCTCATTGTACCCTCCCATGAACAGTGATTTATGCCAGATAGATTTTTCTTATGCCTGTATTTGCTGTGGGAGTAGGTGGTGACACTGAGACATACGTAGGAAACGAGGGGCATTAAGTGGGGAAGGTGAATTAATCATGTGTCCTTCTATTTGAAACATGGATTTATTGTTCAGAGTCTGTGTCAGCTTTGTCTGAGAGACATCTTTGGCTGAATACTTACTCTGTTTTTTTTCTTCCCTGAAACAAGAAGCAATCTAATTCTGGAAAATGCAGAATTAAGTTATGTAAATGAACTAGGAGAATCCTAATTGCCCTGTTGCATGTTGCAGGAGAGGGAATGGTTGCTTGAATTTAATTGTAGGAACTGTTACATGTGAGGGTAAATGTAGCAGATTTTAATCATGGCTTCTTATTGGTACTTCTTTTGGAAATAACAGCAACAACTGTTAGGTGAAACAAATGGTGTTAAAAGGTGCTTCTTGTTTCAGTGCCCTTGCTGCCAGTTCCAGCCCAGCCAAGACCTGCTGTAGGACCCCAGAGATTTCCTGTGAGTAGCAGCTGTTTCTTCTTCTTTGATATGGATAAGCATACATTTGCAAAGAAATATTAATATAGCAAATAAAGGCTGTTCTAGTGAAATATAATTTTAAGGATTTGTAAATATTGACAATACACTCTGCAGTTGAAAATGTTTGTTAAAAGCTTAAGGTCAATGGATTTTTGAGAGTAGAATTAATTCTGTTTAACTGTAAAATTGTTGAACCAATCTCTCCAGTGGGAGAGGCATGAATGCATCTTATCTTAAGGAATATGGGCTTTATTTTATTACTTGAGTCTTTCTGTATGAATAGAATCCTTACTTTATTTGATATAATAAAAGGCTGTTTGAAAAACATCTGAAAGCCTAACAAGCAGTATTATTTCTGTATTTTAAAAATCAGAAAAATTGCATTTTTATCATTACTTCAGACATTTAAATGCCTTTAAATTATTTTATTGGAAAAGAGAATGGGCTTGTGTTTTTGCATGTTTCTACCTTCCAAAACAAACAAGATGCCTAACAAGATACCTAACTACTTCATGATGATCATTTTTACTTTTTTTATGAATGAAGAAAAACGCCCTTCTTGATCATTTTTAATTGATATTTCACAGTTCTGTTGTCGTGAAGTTTGAATTCAAGTGGTTTGTAGAGTATCAAGATAAGAATAAATAAATAAATATATAGTACAGTATTTCCCTAGACATTTTTAGCTAACGACACATACATTGTTTCCTAAACACACACAAAAAATGGTTCTTTGTTAATGGTTGTGGTGTGGTATTGCACAGTGAATTACTTGCACAGAGGTCAGATGAATTTGAAAACAGCAGATTTTGGAAACCTGCTGTGACTTCTGATTGCTGTGTGCATACTAGGTTGCTTCTGATGCAGAGTGTTTTTAGACACCTAGGTGAGTAACTGCTGTCCATACTTTGTAGAGTGGCTGAGTTTTCAAATTATCACATTTCCTCTATAAGACTTATATAGTAAAACTGCAGTTTCATCAGCTTTATCCATTACATAGTTTCAGTGTCAACGTTTTAAGTGCAGGTAGCTTTCTGTTCAGAAATGCTGTGGTTTTAAGAGGAAGTTCCCTTCAGAGGCTGTAGTATTAAGCAGAAACCTTATTAACATTTTAGAAGTATCTTGCCTGTGGTTTCCTTTGACATTAACTTGCTTGTGTCAATAAACACAATTTAGTATTAAAAAGAAATTAAAGGACAAGGAATATCTGTAAAGGCATTGTAATTGACGTCTTTGAAGTATGTTTACATCAGTGTAGAAAAATTGGAAATTAATTTTTTTTAAATTGACTGTGAAATTAGATTTTAATTCTGTTTACTTTTGTTTTTGAAAGTTGACAAGTACTCCAGCCTCGCTAATCTTGTGTGCACCCATTTTTTAAATGGAATGAAGTCAGTGAACGTTTTTAGTACGACTGTTGTTCCTTTTGCCTGAAGGAAAATACTGACTAGTTCCTGCCATTTTATGTAAGCATTGTACTAGCAAGGAGTCGATGTAATTTGCTTTTATTAGGAGAAAGAAAGCTTTAACTGTAGAATCCAGTGTGATTTGACTGCCTTGAGTGTTTTTTTCCCCTTCGGCTAGTAACCTGCTCTGTGGCCATGAGAAAGGTGCTTAATCTCTCCATGACTCAGTGGTTTGTAAAATGGGTATATGTTCTTCCCTTATGAAGTCCTTTATGAATTTTGCATAGGTGATCAGTTAGGATTAGGAATTAAGTGTCACTGTGTACAAATGATGTTTGTTTTATTAAATGTAGTACGTTTGTTCTTGAGCTGAGCACAAATTTACTTTGACTTGGATGTTTTATCTTGCAGAACTACCTTTCCTTGCTTTGTTACATGTCAAACGCTGCTGTGTTGTTATAATTCACTTGTTTATGTAGAGATGTTGACTCTTAGCAGTATAGCAGTGGTTAGACAACTTTGCTGACAAGCCATTTGAAAAAGATCAAAGTAGTGTTCCAGGCTGCAGTGTATTCATGCTTTTTCTCATTATAAAAGGAGTCTCTGGGTATGCAATCACTTGGATTGACTCTTGTTTTAGGATCACCTGATTTTAAGATAGTAGTCAAACAGTCTGCTGGTTGCTTTGTTTCTAAAAACTCTGGAGTTAAAGATATTCTTGGTCTTCTTTCCCCTATGACTTTGAACTGAATGTTTTGTTTGGTTGAATGTGGCAGAAGTGAAAATGTAGGGGAGGGACCTACAAGTGCTGATGCCTTGTCTGAAAGAAAGATAGCATCTGAGTTCCTGTCTCATCTGGTGGAGACTTGGGAAGTCTTCCCAGAGAGCCCTTGTGTGCTCCACTTGTGAGAGCATCTTCAATCAGAGCAACTGCTACTCAATTGCAAGTCATAAATCCATTGGAAATCAGGTGTTACTAATTTAGGGCTAATGAAGTGACTTGTAACATGTAATGGTTAATTCTTAAAACCTTTTGCAGACAGATGTAATTGAAGAATGAACAAAGTTGTAATGAACGTGTTAGCATATTGGTTTCAGTTCTAAACTAAGAAATAATGTAGTACTAAATTGGGTAATGTTGATCAGAACTGAATTGTCTTGGATGTGGGACAAATTAAATTCACCGACAGCCCTCAATCTAAATTTTAATATTTCAGGGTAAAGCATATTGTTGAATTATTTCTCACTTAAAGCTTAACTCCTTGTGCTTAGAGAGGAAGTCTGGAAATGACACGATGAAATTAATCCAGTTGTTTTGAACTTATTTGAACATTTAAAGTAATCTTGACTCAAATAAGGAAGTTGTCCATGTCTTACTCTATAATGATTCAAGGTGACTTAGTCTTAACAAAATTTAAGAGCTGTAGTTTACTAAGTAGGACTGAATAAATGGTGGATATGAGATATTATATGAGTAGCTGAGAAATGTGGTAAAGTTGTGCTGACTTGGAAGTTAAAGACTTGAGTTCTGCAGAGGCTTCTGTGCTCATATGAATCAGCTCTCTTCAGATGGCTGTATTTAGTAGTAATTCAGACTTCAGCTGTAGTTGATGTCAGTGTTTCACCAGGTATTTGAGTTAACCTGGAACTGTGCAAGTGCCAATACAGTGTTTTCTTTAAGCTGTTTAAAGAAGAGATTAAGCTAACATCTTCAGCTGAGTGCTTTTGGCGGTGTTGCTTTAAATATCATCTAAAGCCTTCTATTTAAAGCCGTAAAATGCCTTTCTCTGACTTTCTGTCCCAGTCAGTGTTTCTCAAGTAACAATGTTTGGGGACTGATCTGTTGGAAAGAAAACTCTGGAAGTCTTACTTATAAACTGTTGCATGGATCTCCTGAGTTTTTCACATTTTTCTGACCAAGTTAGTAGTTCTTATGGATGTTTCAGTCCAGTTATGGGACTTTGTTATCCCTCTTGTGTAACGCTTGTGGTTTCTGACTGGTGGTAGTTATTTATCTAGGATAATTTTTTCTTCATTTACTGTTTTCTGTAAAGAAGAGCAAGATATAATAAAGTTTAAAAAAATTAAAAAGAAAATAAAAAAGATATGGAGGAGGAGCTTCTGAGCACTCTGTATGTGGGTTGCTGCTAACTGACTGTTATAGAGGCCAGATCCTTACTTAGCATGAAACTAACAAAATAATTTGCTTATGAATGGCAGTTTTCAGGAGCTGAGATGATGGTGCAATTCTTTTCATCTCTTATGTGCTTTCACCAGCACATTCTAGTTTGAAATATTCCAAGAAATTGGAATGCTAGATATGCCTGAAGACTTTTCCTTCAAATATTTATTTAAGTTGTATTTAACTTAACACGAAAAGGAATTTCACGTGTCATTTGTGTGCAGTTTTTCAAGGACATATAAAAATGGACCAAGTGTCATTATGCCAATTTTGGGATAGAGTGTGACCGAGGGAGAATGTTTCCATTGACAAAATTCTTCAGTTGGATACTGTGGACACAGTGAGGATCCCTGGCATCCAAATTTGAGGCTGCTTTAGGATTTTTGGTGTGAAGAGGACCTTGTGGAGAACCTGCCTCACAATGCTTTAGGCAGAAGAGAGGAATGGTGTCTTCAGGTTTGGGCTGTTTCAGTTCTGTCTTTGTTGCCATTTGATATCTGAAACCACTGCAGAGAGAGCAGAGCCTGGGAGCTGTGTGCCTTTTGCAAGGAGAGTTTTCAGGGAAGTTGGATGAAAATTTATTCAGCTTATTCAGTTCTTATCCTCCTCACTCTAGCTGTGGTGAGAGCTGGGCAAATAACCACCCTTCAGACCCATTCCTTTAAATTTGATCCTTCTGAGTTTCAGAGCTGGAACTAGGAATGGTCTGAAGTGACATGAAGCAAAAAATGAAGCTGCGCTGTTCTCTGCCTGGCTGACTTACGCCACGAGGGCTTTTGAGGTGCAAGAAGCCTTTCTCCTTTGATAGGACACCTTTTAGTGCTCTAGATGCCTTTCAAGTAACTGTTGAATTCAAATCTTAAAAAAAAGTTGAATTATACAGTGTATAAATTGCGTCTTATTCAATATAAAAATAAGACCTTAGTAGAGCAGCTGTCCTCGGGCTCTAGTGAATATTCTACATCATGAGTCTTTTTACTTCCAAGCGGGTTTTTTTTTTTTTTACGTGATTTGCTCTTGGAATTTGCCTTTGAATTTTATTTCAAAATGGTCCTCATCCCAGAACACCTGAATATTTTTGTTAAACTGCAGAAACCTTAGTAAACGTTTTTTACATTTTCATGGAGTATTCAACTTCATCTCCAGTATGTCGTTGTTGTAAATGGCTGCTGGAACAGAGAATTGGTTAGCTGTTTTGAGTCATTGCTGAAACCTTCAGTTTGGCAAATTTTCAGCTTTGAAGTTGTTTGAAATTCAGATGCTTAGAAAACACTTCTTCCTTTTAATTTGTGAGAGATGCAGTGCCCAGCTTTGCTGTCATTGATTACTGTCCTTAATTTTTGCCATTTGCTTGTAGAACTTTAGCCAAAAAGTATTAATGTTATTTGATT